ATGACTACTCACATATTCCCACGGCGTAGCAAAACAAAGTAAACCGGATCTTGCAGAGATTCTGCAGGTGAGAGCTTAAGGAACTGCAAGACAATATACCAGCACGTCGTAATGCTGTAAAAAGAATTTTGAAACTGTCATACCATGAAGGAAATTCATTGGTATTGAATCAACAACGATAATAACCCAATAAGATTCCACAAGAGATGGTTTTAAAAAGACAATCGGCTCAAGAAAACAAATAGAGAGGTAAGCTAGTAAACTGTAGTATAAGACAATTTAGAATTTTAAAAATATAGCTAAGCAACTAATACTTGTTTGATTCAAGACCAGAAAATGGATAGCTTGTCATCACAGAGAGTTCTTGAATTGATTTATAAATCATACCTTCCAAAGCATATGAGTAGAACAACCCAAAGAACAGCAAGGATCCAGTTTGTTTCCTTGTACACGACCCAAGTCTGATATAATGTGGTTTGATGGGTACAAACCATCAACCATGAGTGAGGTTGTATTAGTACTGTACCCAAAATACATGTCTAATTATTGGAGAACCCATGAGTGAGGTCCATTATTTGTAAAATTAGCTTAAAATGACACTGTTTATTGGAGAAGTGACTAAAACATGAAAAATGACCAACTATTATTAAAGTGGGAAAGATAGCTAACTGAATAACAAGTATTCAGTAAAAGTCAGTGGCATAGGGTAAAATACAAAATAACAAAAAAGTAGGAAAAGAGATTGGACCAAATTGGAAATTTTATGAAAAGGTGATGCAAAAACCAAATAAGATATTGTCATTCACTTTTGATTCAGTTAACAATAAGGTATTTGAATATGGTTAAATATGTTAATCTGATAAAAGTGTAAAGCAAGTCAACTTATTTGACTTGCCAAACATATCCTAGATGTAAAAATAGAAAGAGCTGGATCACTGTCCTTGCCCCATCGTCAAAATGAATAATATTATCACAGATAATAGTAATGTGAACCAAATTTAACCGATATAGAACATCAGACCTACATTGGGGTAGGATGAGTGGGGTGGGGTGGTGGTGGTGGTGGAGTGTCTTCTTTTTTAGCTTCCGTCACCTCAATCCTTCAATCTTTTTTTTTAACTCTTAAAAGTTCTAGAATTGTAGAGTAAATTCTATAATAACTCAAAAGAAGCATAAGATGACTCTTACGTACCCCAATGGCAAAAACGTTGATATAAAAATCAATCAGTGTTGCAGCCATCCACCTGTAACATATTCATAAACTCATAAGGCATTCTTTTCTTTCAAGCCAATCATTAAGGGTAGATAGAATTAAGCTATGCGTAGAAATACAAGGATTATAGGAAGCTGGCAGACATGCAGTGGCAAAAAACAATTGTAGACCCCTTCAACATAAGTAACAAAAATATATATAAATGTGAATCACCATGGTATGTGTCTGGGTAAATCATCTCTCTTTACGTTGGGAGTCATATCAAACAGGTAGTCATGTTTTCATAGTCTGTTTGGCAGGTGAGGAGGGGAGGGTGGTGGCATCCTCTCGGAAACATCATCTCTATTCCAACAAGTAAAGGTAAAGTGTGAACTTCTCGCCCTCCAGATCTTACTCTTGAATGAGATAGATTCGGTTTGTTTGGTTTGGTTGGTCATATAGAAGAGGTCTTTTGTACAACATCTACGAGATAACCAAGATATACTATCAAAATTCTTATGAAGAAAGTGCAGGAGAAAATCATTTAACATGTCCTTGCTAAGACACCCTTTAAGTTCTTTGGCATGTATGTTGTTAACTAAACAAACTTACCCAGTAAACTCAGAAGCAGAGCCTAGTGAGGAAACTGATGATGTAATATTCAGCTAACTCAATTAGAGGTAAGGAATAAAGAGACTTCTCCACGAGTACTAGGCTATGGATGATTTTGAAAGTATTGGAAGAAGCTAATAATGTGGGGAAAAAATTTCCAACTGTTAAAATAAAACACCACTTCCGGCAGACATTGTCATCATTAGATAGATATAACACTCTTTTGGATTATTAACCCCCCCCCCCCCAAAATAAAGAGTTACTAAGTATATTTTATTTGTAATGCGTCAAAATATACATATTTGTTAGGGTGAAATTGGATAAAACTACTACCCCCTATAAAAGATTAGACAGAAAGTAACTCTTAGGTCCATGAATTCCATGAAAGTATTTTGTAATAGATTTAAAACTAGTTTGTGATAAACTGTTAGATTTTCATAGGTCCATGAAAATATTTTGTAATAGATTTGAAATCAGTTTGTGACTTTAAAGCCCAATGCGGTCTTTAAAATATTTTTCACTTATTTGTAAAATATTAGATTTGATACAACACTTTTTCCACATATCTGTGATCCGTGAAATACCTTTTTCATTTATAACTGATTTATACTGACAATGATGATATTAATGATAAATAGGCCAGTCCAAACTGCCATGCGGGCTTGAATTTAAAACCCATACCGAGCCCTAAAGTTTGCTAAATGCGTACATGTCTGAACCCTTTTTTACCGGCAGACTTTTATGAACAACGAATACCCAAACCCATGATCACGTCTAAGCAGAAGTAAAAGCAACATAGCTCTAGCCTCTAGTCTTCATTTCCTTGGTCATGCGGTAGATCTAGTCCACAATCCATTTCTTGGGTAAAACAAATAGAGTCGATTAGGCTTGGCATACTCCCAACTAAATGACTAGTTTGCCTTCACATACTCCTAGGAGTCCTAGAGCAAGTTTGCCAGGTCTTAAAAACCCAAATTTCTAGGAGTGCTTATGTCTTCCATTTTCTAATCATCTCTTATAATTCTGGGTATGACCCTGTTCTTTTCGCCAAGTATTTGGAGTTTGATAGCTAAAAAATGAATACATGGAGTTCTACAAAACCTTAAAACCCACAATTTCTTAGTTGGCCATTTGGTTGTGAAACTTTGAATGCAAGTAGCCTAACATTAGAGCAGAGGCCAATATAGATTTTAGAAAAATCACTACAACAATTTTAAAAATTACGAACCCATCGTAGGGTCTCAAGACCAGCCTAAACAGTTGCTGGAAGTAGGTAAATTAAGTTTTAAATCTTAGATTCACTAATAAATGGGGAGTATGAACAATAGCTAAAAGGAAATATATTGAGCTTAAATCTTAGTTTCCCTTTTTTTAGGAATCTAACCCGAGCATTACCTCTTTTGCAACCTTTATTAACCAACTAAGCTAGGTCACCAAGGCACTACAACAATTCAAGGATTTAGAGTAGGCAAAGCCCTGTTCTAAATTTCGCAGGAGAGAGCAGAGAAATTTATAGAAGTAGAGAACATACGGAGTGAGGAGTTCGATGCGGAAAGGAAGGCCGTCGGTGACGACGGTGTAGATCACAGTTGCTGCCGCCGCACAGCCCAGTACGGCGAACGAAGTCCTCAGCGCCGTCGCCGATCCCATTTTCTCTCTCTGATTTGTGGATCGGGAACCGAAATTGCCGCATATTCAATGGGATAATCTGAATGTCTGGTCATGGATGCTTCGCGTCAAGTGGGTTTGAAAATGACGCCAAAACAGTAATAAAGTGAGAAATTCTTGTGGATGATAAAGTAGGGATAATTTGCTCTTTTTTTAGTAAGTCGTTTTTTCTTTTTTTTCAAACGGCTTTTATAATAAAAATGAATATAAACAACGTAATAACTAATAATTTATCTTTTTTAGTACTCTCTCTCGTATTAGATTACAAAGTGAGCAAAAAAATCAAAATTTTTTATTCCATTTTATTAAAATATTGATACAGAATCAAAGATAAAACTTGCATATTTAAAAACTACATTAAAAATTGTACAAAATAAAAGTTGACAAAATTTTTTTTATCAAATAATCATTTAAAATACACAAATAAACAAAAGTTGTCAAGATTTCAGAATAATAAATATCGTAATCAATTGTGAGAAAGAAAGAATAATAATTCACTTTATTTTTTTTATGAAGTACTCTCTTCGTCCCAATTTATAGTGTTTGTTTCGCTTTACGATGTTTAACTGAAATTATTTTCAAATCATTTTATATGACAAATGGTATATAGTTAAAAAATAAAAACTACATATTAAAATACTACATCAAAAAATCTACAAAACTAGTAGTGACAATAGTATTTTATTTCATCAGATTGCTAACGAAAAAAGATAAAGAAAGTGAATAAAGTTTGACCTTGTAAATAATGAACAACCACTATAAATTGGGACAGAGAAAATACTTGATATATGCACTCCGTAATGAAATATGATAACCTTTTAAAATGTGACGTAGGGAGTAATAAAATGGGTTGAAGTAATAAAAGGGGTAAAAAATATTTTTTTGTTAAAACATGAAAATATTTCATCGTCAAATCGTACTTACTTTTTTGTTGATATGGGAAACTATTTTTTGTTCACTACTATTTTCGTAAGAGCGGCTAGCAGCGTGGAAGACAAATGCTTAACATGGAGAGGCAAGTCTTTCCACCACAGAGAGCAAGCTCCAAGGCACCCCATACCTTTTTTTTCTTTTTTTCTTTTATACTTTTTTTATTTTTAAGAAAAAAAAACTCTTTTGTAAGGAAGTAAAATTATTTTTTAATGAAAGAATTAGCAAAAATAATTTTTAATAATTAAAATACATTACAAAAATTGAAAAAAGTAACAAAGGTAGCCATTGTCACTGTAGGGTGTGTCACTCTGTGTCTGGACCATTTTTATTGGTTGATCAGCATGCGGCATCCTTTTTTTTACTAGTCATTGTTTATGCTCTAATTGAGAAGATCTAAAATGCATGGAAGAGTTAAAATGAAAAAGTGTGACATAAACATAAACAAGGGTTAAAACGTCAATAGTCCAAAAGTCCAAGTTGACAAAAGTATTTCCATAGCAATATTATTATCAAATAGCCATAAAAACCAAGTGGAAAATTTTAACATGCCTTTAAACATACAACAATTGATAGTGTATAGTTGACTCCTTTTCCTCTATAACCTATAAAACTGCCCATTCAACCAAAAATGGATGCAACACCCAAAAAAATGTGATGTAAATATAAAAGAACAAATGTATTTAAAAAAAAAGAAAAAGAAAAATGTATTTAAGAAAAATAGCCCCCACCCCACCCCACAAAAAAAACCAATAATAATCGACACAAATAGATTCTGGGTAGGATTTGTATACGCGGACCTTGCCCCTGCTCAAGAACACAAAGGCTGCAAACCAAGAAGTCAAATGCAATAAAATTCTTCAGCTAGCAGCTCATCAAACAAGTAATTCTCTACTTCATCACAAACAACACCAATCTCTCTTTCCATTTCCATACACTCGGTTTCCGTTCCCTTGTTCACGAGCGACATCCACAGTTCTTCCTCCACCTCGCTTCTCCTCAACTTCCTACAAAGCCTCAATCTCAACGACTTCGACGCAACATGGATGTCGAAAAAAGAGCCCAAAATCGCGCTCAACCCTAAATTTATACGGTCAAACAAGAGCCGCCTCTCGGGCTTTGACCAAGACTTTTGCTTGCCATATTTCTTCTCTAAGGTGTCAAAGAGCGATGGGTTTATAGGGGACTCCAAAGAATTGCACGTTTCCAAGTCCACTTCAAAGTGGAGGCGCGCCTCGTCTAAAACGTCGACTAGGTATGAAAAGTCCCGACTTTCTTCCGTGCGAAACACGCCAAGATGTTCTTGAGAAGAATAAAAAGATCCCCTTTTTGTGTCTTCAGCAGCTGAGAGGGCCATTTCAGAAGCTTCAGAGTATGTTTCATCTGACTCGTCATCAAGAAGCTTGAGCTGTGCTACCACACCTATTATACAAAAACTAATTTCTAAGAAAATAATGGGAAAAAACAAAAGTGGGAGTAAAACATTGAGAAAATACCAAAATAGAATTTCCATGTTTTTATTCTAAAATAAGAGTTGCAATGCAAATAATGTCAACATATAATATAAAAACATATAATATAAAAAGACTGTGAAAAGCAAATATTTAATTCCACATTATCACACTCCAAACTCCTATTCTGGGATAAAAATACGGAGTTTTTGTTATGGTACTTTCTCTATGTTTTACTCCTATTTTGGGTGATTTCTTAAAAAGAATCATAAAATAAATGGAGCCTACATTAACAACAAAAGTAGTATTATGCAAAATTACCAAATAAAATAATCAGAGAAGGGATGCGTTCACTTACTATGTACATCTAAAACAGGATGGTGAAAGCATTCGGAGTTTAGAAGTTCGATCTCTTTAAAACGTGGTTCGAGAACTGAATTTGGACTTCTTTGATTACCTTCCTTTGTATTCAATTGAGAATTTGGGTAAATTATGGCATTTTCCATAGATCCCACTTGGGTTTGAGGGGATCCATTTAGCGATTCCTGCATAGTGGTGGTAATAGTATAAGTTATGAAGGAAAGTACGTAGAGGGTGTTTGGGAGTGCGCTAGATTGTTGAAAAAGCAGAAGTTTTAAGTCGAAGCGGAAAGCATATATTTTTAATTTTTCTTAAAAACACTTCTGGAGCACATTTTAGACTGCAGAACTCATAATCTATAAGCAGAAACAGATTGGCAAACACGACAAGCATTATTTTAGTGAAGCAAAAGCTCATAAGTAGTTTTTAAACACAACCCCAAACGCCCTCATAGTAAAGAACCTCGTGGTTCTTTGGCGCTGGTTTTGAGTGTCATAATATGACTCCATGGCCTTACGGCGTTCCGTGGGGCCCCAAAGTGGGTCTCCCTTCCCCCCAAAATGCCAAAATGTCATGTTCTCGAGGGACTGGGTGGGCACATAACTGGGAGTTGTGGGGGTTACGATGTAGGAGAGTAGGACCCACTTCGGGCCCAATGGAGCAGCACATGGCCTACAAATGATTGTGTCATAATATGACACACAAGGCCAAGGTGGGTGTCAAAAGAACATGGCTCAATAAAAAACACCAAGATTACCTTCAAAATTCACAATCGTCTAAGAGCAACACTAAAAGGGGAGGAAAGAAGGGGGGAATAGGATGATATGGAAGGGGAAATGAGAGAAGATCGATTAAAGAGATGGGAGGGATAGAAAAGAAAAGAATTTAGGGGAATATTATTCTCCTGGAGAGAAACTTTTTTTATTGATCCATCATCCATTGCATTTTAAGTTTTTATATATTTTTTCACACCAATAGGAAAATAACATGTTAAAAAAATTGAAAAAAAAAGTGCTCAGGTAGATGAAAGATTAGACTGTGGTGGGGAAAATTAAAGGAAAAAATGATGTCATTGAAAGTGGTGATGTGGGAGGAGAATACAGAGGAATGAATAGTGATGCTCTAATAACAGTAATTATTGCATTAAAATAAGGTTTGATTGATTATTAGACTATTTTGTTTAGACTGAAGCATTTTGAAAGAGTTTTCTTTAGGAATATTTGCACTAAATAGCACTAAAACTTAGGTCATTTCTCTAAATAGCACTTAAACTGTTTTATTCCCTAAATAGCACTCAATAATGTCCAGTGATGACTAATAGATAATGACTAAAAGTGCTACATTGGAAAAAAAACACATGTGATGCTATTTAGGAAAAGTCATTATGTTTTAGTGTTATTTACGTAAATTCCTCTTTTTTTTTAATGGAAGGATCATTATGCCTTTGAGAAAAATACAGTAATCATGACCAGAAACTCAATAAGAAAAGGTACTAATTTAAAATCTCGTTATAAAATGCGTATAAGGGTATCATATAGAATGGTAAAACACATCTGCATCGATTCGGGGAATAGCAGGAAAACAATACCTTTAATTTAAGCATCTTAAATTAAAAAGGAACATTAACAAGGAAAATGTGATAGAAAAGGCAAACCTGTCTAACTGAAGCCGTCGAGCTGTAAGAGGAAACAACATCCTCTAAGTTCATTAATGAATTCCCAATGCTTGAAATACCGCGTTTGGATTTGTAGAATCTAGACGCGCTCTTCTTCTCCGGAATAACTATCACTCCATCTCCAAGTTTAGCATAATGTTTCGGGCTCTGTTTGGGACAAACCATTGCGCTTTTAGGACGTTGCATTGAACTATGTCTTGGTTCAATAACCTTCCTAAATGGCTTACAAACCGAGGAATGTCTCCGAACTCCAAGAAGCTTATCATATTCAATGGAATTAAAACTCTTCTTCTTGACTGAAAATGAACTATTTTCCCACAAACCAATAGAAGCTATTTTTTGGAGATAGTGTTCTGATGGCATTCTTCTTTTAGTTCTTCGTTCACATGGCGTCCGTGGAGGAAAAGACTTGCCAAAACCCAGCAGATTGGCAATCACGCTTTCGTTAGACTCCATCTTTTGGATTAACTACTCAGCTGCTGCACAACCAAGAAGAAAATTTTATGTTACACAAATATAATGTGACATGACATTTAAATGCAATGAGAGAGTGTATGAGAAGCCAAGAACTCAGAGCAAAGGTGAAGTACTCCTCATCGAGTGAATTTGAGTGTGTGGTGGAATATGCACTTAGACCAAAAATATTGTTACCGTGTCTCGCAAATTGGCATGAAAACAATATCTCTCCCAAAGTGAGAGTGCAAAGATAAACACGTCTTCCTTGGTCTTGCCCACCCAAATTTGCTTGATGAGGAGTACTTCACCATTAAAAATAGAGAAAATTTCCCAAGATAGGAGTGTGACAAAAACTTTTTAGGCAAATAGGACCAATTATTTTTTTAAAAAAATAGGACCTATATGGTCCTATCTCTGTGACTATTCCGTATTGAACCCAAAATTTACCCTTCTCATCTTTTTTATCTCTTTCCCCTATCCGTTCTTTCTCTTCTTCACTTCTTCATATACTTTTTTCTTCTTTTTATTTTTCCATCACCACCATTACCCTTTGTTGCCATTGTCGTGCCTCCCCACTTCATCCGCAACCCCTCATCATACACCAATGTCACACCACCATGTCCCCCGCCATTGCCACCCTCAACCACCGCCGCCATTTTATTCGCCATCGCCATTCTTGTCGCCAGCACAATTTTCTTCACCCATTGCTGCCACCATATCCTTCCCCACCACTTCCGCCATATCTTGCTGACGTCCTCTCCCATTCGCCGATGCCTTCTCATTTTTTTTCCTTGTTTTTCTCTCTGCTGCTTCACCATGAGTGGATCCAACCATTATAGCTTTGGTCAGTATAATTTCTTATTGCAATGGCAGTGTCATTGTTATATAAATGGACAGTAATCTCTTAATTGAGGGCGGTAATGCATGTTGATAGTATGTTTACAGTTTACACGCGATAGCCGTTATTTGTGTTTGCCTTTGGGGTTGAAAATGGTGTCATATGTGGGGGTCCCCAAGTTTTTTTGATAAACTTTACACTGCCTATGTTCCTTTTTATTTTTTTCCTTTACTACTAACAAGATCACTCCTTTACTGCTTACAAGATCACCCCCCCCCTCAAACCATGCCCTAGTGGGATTCAATTGGGTTGTTATTGTTATACTAATTACAAGATCAAATTATATCTACTTTCTCTACATATACATAATCATCATTTTAAAAAAATAGTCACTTCAACACTTGTTTTGTAAAACTTTTGAAGTAGTTTTTAATATATCTATTTTTGTAAAAATGTCATACCAATATTTAAATAAATTGAACTAAAAATAACTTCAATCTTATATCACAATCTGAAATAAGAAAATCATTTAGAGTATCAAGCTAATCTACCATCATAAATATGAACTGAGATGCAGAGTACCAAAGATAGAAAAAAAAGAACTTATAAATGGTAATAAAACTTGTAACCTTAGAAATAGACATAAAGTCAAACACCTTGGCAGCAAAAGCTAAAAGCATAGTAAATCAGCCTGCAACTTTTAAGCTCATCACAATCAAGAAAGGCTTCAATTCATTCTATCAGATTAAAAGTTACCAAAAAGGATGCACCCCAGGGCCCCACAAGAATAATTTAGCTCAGATGGTCATAAAGAATGAAATCTGCATAACAGAGACCAGACTCCATACTAACATAGATGTTCAGATCTAACTCTTTTGGCACCCTTATAAACTAGTTGTGTCTTCTGCTTACCAAAAGAACCATATAACATTGGAGCTACAAACAAGAAAAAGAAAGATGAAAGAAAACCCATTTCCATCACATAAAGCAACAAACAGACATCATGCTGTTTGCACAATAAATACCACTCCAATCTAAAATTCAAGGACAAATACAGACAGAAAAGAAAGATCTTACTTTTCCCTAAGCTCATCAAGATCTTCTCTTCCCAAGACCAGGCTTATAAGTGAAATCATCAGTGCCAAGAAAAATAGATTCCAAATTCTTGCTGGGGCCAAAATTGAATCAACGCCCAAGAAAACTGGAACAATAAAGATTCAAACTTTGTAGATTTCCCAGCCAGATTCTAAGAAAAACGCGCCGTATAATACACCTATACGTGCGTATGTGCGTTGCGCGGCTCTGCCAAGAAATGGATGAAAAATGGAGAAAGGGTTTAGGAAGTCCTCCATAATTATTTTTTTATTCTATACTGTATTAATCCGTATTTACTTGACATTAACTCTTCATACGGAGTAATAATTTTCTTTTTTTAATAGTAAAACCGAATTTATATTTCTTGTTTTCACCTATGCTGTTATTTTATGTTATTTATATTTATAATGGAGTCAAATATTTTATTTTTAGAAATCACCTTAAATAGAACTAAAATATAGAGAAAAGTATTAAAATAAGACTTTCACATTTTTTTCCCCGAAATAGGATTTCAATAATGTGATTGTAATATGGCACTGTATATGTGCACATTACCAAAATGGATGAAGCATCTTACATTGACTTTATTTGGATATATTAGTCATTTTAATAAGTGTTTAAATGAAAGCAAAAAAATAAAAAAAGGAGTATTTTAGTAAATAGATGGAGTAATAGATAATTAATTGAGATTAGAGAGAATATAGCGCTATTGTCGTGGAGGTTTTCAACGAGTATGATGGATTTCAAGATCCATTCAAGAAAATAAAAAATGAATCTCACAATATAATTTGCATTTAATAATTTTTCGTATAATAATGTAATAAATATAATAAATATGAGGAACATACGATATTCACATAGAAACTTAAATTGAGAGAAAACAAGACGCGCTTTTTCCGGTAGTACCATACCAATGAGAAATTTTATTAGTGATAGAGAGAGTATCTATACATTATTCTATCCAAAAACTATGTATGCGAGCTTGAGAACTTATCTACCAGGCTAGGCGAATATATGTGTTAGTGCACCATTTTCGACCCCGGAAGAATTTGGGCTCGTAGACATATTATATGCTTAGGATTGATTAGATCGACTTTTAATTCATGACAAATTTTTTCGTAGACCTAAGGTCTATGTTTAGTGAATTTGTAACATGAATAAAGCAGGCCTTTTGCCAAAAAAATAGCCACATGAAAATCCATAAAAAATGTGAGAATGTTCATATTTTAAATATGGACATTGAGACCATGCAAATATCGCTATTAATTTGTACTTGTACAATTATGAATATGGATCGAATCTGGATTCATCTGAGAAAAATGGAGATATTTGGGCGGGTTAAGCTTAACCCGGGACATTCAAAGCGAATATCATGTCCTTGAACGGGAGTCCAATGGGCCACAAGGCGGCTAAGGCTCCGTTCCGTTCAACTTATTTTTTCTAATCTGATCTGATTCTAATAAGTTCTGATCTGATCTGGTCTGATCTGATCTGATTGGATCTGATCTGATCTGGTCTGATCTGATTAATTATGATTTAATTTAAAATTTCAAATCAATAATTTAATTTGACTTTATAATAAAGTTTGAAAATTGTAATGATAATTCATATTATAATATAATCAATATTTTTTATTTAATGATTATTTTTTAATAAAATAAAAATAGTTAATTCATATATTAGAATAATCATTCATATTATAATGTAATAATATTTTTTATTTTATGATTATTTTTTGTGAAATTAGAATTATACATTAGAATAAATATTTAATTTAGATATACATTAAAAAGTAATTAAATTTAGATAATCAATATATAGAAGAGATAGTATTTTTATTAAAATATATCATCCTTATAAAAGATCAAAAGTTTAGAAACTCAAATAACAAGTTGCAAAAAAAATATATTTTAAAAGTAGAATTAGATTGACATTGTCAATGTATTTTAAAACTAAATTTTCCGACGTCTAATAATTAAGGATTACTTTCTCAGTTTTCTATTTAACCTATTTCTAAAGTTTATTCTTTTTCATTTTTAAGAACAACAACAACGACAACAACAACAACAACAATGATGATGATGATGATGATGATGATGATGATGATGATAATAATGATGATGATGATGATGATGATAATAATAATAATAATAATAATAATTCTTGATGGGATCTGATTTTAATAAGTCCAGATCTGATCTGATCTGATCTGATTGGATCTGATCTGATATGATTCAATCTGATCCGATCTGATATAATCTGAATCGATCTGATCTGGTCTGGTCTGGTCTGGTCTGATCTGATTTTAATAAGAATAAGAAAAAATAAGAAAAAATAAGTTGAACGGAACGGAGCCTAAGCCCAAAATTTTTTTGTTCGAATAAAATATTTCTAATTAATTAAAAACATCCTAAACCTTTTTCTATATGAAATGGATTAAGTTTCCACTTAAACATTCCTCAAGCACATTATTCCTATTCTCGGATATATCTCGACCGATTCAAATCTATCATGGTCAACGATTTAAAATTTAATTAGGGCAACTCTCTCCTCATGACATGTCAATTCGACATCTAAGTTTATAGTCCTTCCCTCCCCAAAACTTCCCTTCTTTCCTTTTTGTCAAATAATGATATCCTTTGACAACAAATTATGAAAAAAGTATAGAGAAAACTGCACAGTTTACCCCTAAATTCTTTGAAAATTGCATGGTTTACCCCTGAACATTAAAAAGTGCACCAAATACCATTGAATTCTTCTGAAATTGCACGGTTTACCCTTGAACACTAAAAATTGCACCAAGTACCCCTGAACTCTTCAAAAATTGTATTGTTTACTCCTGAACATTTAAATAAAGACGACAATTTTGGGTAAAGTTATTACATTGGAAAATTCACAAGGGCTAGATGAATCATATTCGCAATTCTTATGCGTGGAAGCAACGCACTCCCTATCTAATAGTTTAGGACCAACGATGCAACGGTTTAATTTGTTCAAGGGTATTTGGTGCATTTTTTAGTGTGCAGGGGTAAATCGTGCAATTTTCGAAGAGTTCGAGGGTAATCGGTGCACTTTTTAAAGTTCAGGGGTAAAACATACAATTACTAAAGAGTACGGGGGTAAACCATGCACTTTATTCAAAAAGTATATGAAGTATTTAATTACAATATAAATTTGATATAATTGAGTTAATCTTAGGATATAGTTTTGATATATCAAATTTTATATCACTTTTTTTATTTAGATTATGCTTATTTTGTGTTCAAAGAGTGTTATTGTTTTACCAAAAAAGTCAAAATAGGAAAAGTTTTTAGGATCAGAGAGAGCAATATTCTATCCATCACATCTTACTTTTAGCTATCACATACAAAATATTTTTGAAAAGTAAACATAAAAATATCTCTCCTTTAAATTTTCTAAAAGTTAGAAATAAACATCTTTATGGGACGAATGAAGCACTTAAATTATTTATCTCTCCAAGAAAGATCTTCACATAAACTATTCAAATGATTAAATTTTATTTACTTTGTTTACTTATTTTCACTTCATAAGATAATATAGTTATGTAACCTCTTATTTTGTAGATCATTTTGTGTATTTTCTTAAATATAAATTTTATTTTTAATTTTTCACCTACAATGAATTAAAAATAAAGTCGATGAAACCTTTTAACGCGGAATAAGAATAAGAAGATCTTTTCTAGATGGATGAATACTATAAAGGACGCCTAACATTATATGGATTATGGATTACTTCATAGTTCATATGAGTATCTAAATAAGCTTTGCATCACTATTAATACAAAGTTTAAGCTATAATTGTTTCAGAAACGGAACCAGAAAATGAAATGGTGAAGTTTATACATGTGTATTATGCAACCAAAAAAAATACTTCGTATAAAAGTGACATTAAAATACTTCAAATTTGTTGTCCCACTTTCTTAATTATAGACACATAACAAAGAATAATATAGCAATGCTTGCCATTGTGTGATGATCATCTATTTGGGCGTGTCTTTCTTGGTGAGAGATTGAGAGTATGCCTCAAAGAATTCTTCATTCTCTTTCTCCAACTCATTCCACACTGCAAAAAAAAAAAAAAAGGAGAGAAAATTCATTTAATGCTCATTCAGGTCATCTACTTTGGAGTATAATTAAGATTATCTTAACTTTATGGTTGAAGACGTACAGAAAGAGAGAGATCAAGGTCAAATATAATTTGTCTTAGTTTTTTTATTAATGTATTTTTTTAATTAGATGTTCTTTTTTATTTAATTTATTTTTTTATTTAATGAATCATTATCGTTTAAATTTTAACAATTAATGAAATTTTATAAATCTAATTTTACAAAATGTGTATTAAAAAAATAAAGGTTTGAAGCTCCAATTTAAAGTTCCGGTGTTTCAAACTTATTTTTAGTGAAACTTTGAGATAAGTTAAAACTGACGCGACAAACGAAGGTTTGAAGTCTGGATTTGAAGCCCAAGGCATCATGATCATTTCCCGTTCCCTAATAGGAGGGGGTATATATATATATATGGGTACGTACCGGTGGAGGTAATGATTGGTTGGATGTTTGCACGGTTGGAGAGGACTTTGATGCACTCCGCTTTGGTCATCTTCAATATCAGGCAATGCTCTATCAGGTGCTGCACCTTCATATATAGTTATATTACTATCATATACGGAGTATTAGCAAAATTTATTATATAATTAATTACATGATTTATTAATTATCTGGAAAAGAACAATTATCTTCGAATTAAATAATCACAGTAGTGGGTTTAAAAAAATAATCATAGTAGTTATCACGGAGCACTCACGGAGTAAAAGAAATACCCTAAAAAATATAATCAAAACTGCATGCATGTGTGTGTGTGTTTCAACAATAACAAGAAACCCTTTAAAACCCAACACAAAATAGGGTATCATAAGAAGAGTGTGTACATGTAGACTTTATTTCTACTTGAAAGTAAAGAGAATATTTCCAAGCTAGAGACCTAGTTCAAACACGTTTAACGGAAATCATTAAAGAGAGCACAAAACACGAACAAGCCATACTAGCAATTACATTACAAGCATAAAATTAAAAACATACAAAAGCAGAAGATTATTATTCAATTATTTTAGTCGTATGTAGATCTTCAGACATTTCTACTCAAATGATATGTATACGCCCACGTCTCAAAATGTTTTGTGCTTCTTGCAAAATGAAGCGAAATTTCAATTCCTTTCAATTAATTTTATT